TACATTTAAAATTTAAGTCGTTTATCCATTTTGAGTTTATTTTTGTGTATGGTGTAAGTTGGTGGTCTAGTTTCGTTTTCTTGCATATATCTGTCCAATTTTCCCAGCACCATTTATTGAAGAGACTATCTTGGCTCCATTGTGTGTTCTTGCCTCCTTTGTCGAATATTAATTGAGCATATTGTTTCGGGTCAATTGCTCATACCTCCCATACAAGGAGTCCCTTCTCAAGGTCTCTTCATGTTCCTCATCTGGAGTGAAGGCTATTTCCTGCCACGACCCTGACTGAGAGTTCCTGAGCACTGAGGGATGCTGATAGGGAAGAGAGCCAGGGTTATTAAAAAAGACTTGGTCTACTTGGTATATGAGCCTAATGCTGGCCCTGCGTAGGAGCTTCTAGAGGTGGAAATGCAGGGAGTGCTTGGGAGCACAGCTCTAGGAAGTGTGAAGATAACTCCAGTTTCGCTTCCAGTGTGTTGCTTTCCTCGGCTCCATAGCCTGCAGTAGACTGCTCCTTCCTGTGTGCTCCCATAGCTCCTGTTCACAGTTTTTTAATTTCCTATTTGCAAAAATCTTTCCTTCAAGGCTCGCCTTAAAGCCAGGGAGAGATCTCTTCATTTTTCTTTTTCTTTACTTCCCCAGCACTACCTAGTGACCAGTAGACACTTAATAAATGCCTCCTGAGTGAATTTATGTTCAAAGGTAATGTCCCTAAGAAATTGAAATTATCTGACTGTGAGCCAGAGAAAACTTGAGCAGTAATTACGACTGTAAAATTGCAACTGTAGTTTACTGTAGTTGCAGAATGTGTATGAAAACAGAAAACCAAAAAATGTTGTTTCATGCTTTACAGCTCATCCTCTTCTTCGTTTCAACCTGTGTGAAACTGTCCCTGGTGGCTGCAGTTAGCTAGGGCCCTGCATAGGATCTCTCTTGCATAGCCATAAGTGGTTTGTATGCTTAATCTTGAAATAACCAAGGTCAGACTCTTGATATTACTCATAATTTTATGGATGCATATCAACCTGCTGTATCAATTTGCCTCACAAATGATGGAATCCTTCACAGATAAAGACTGATGGTGTCTAAACCCCTAAATTGACAACTGACCTAGTATAAAAACACAGACTTACAGATTATCTGTTTAGAAATGACCTTGACTTCAAAGAGTTAATGTGGGGAAATATGGACATTTGCTATAGACTTTATTAGACTTCAGTCTGTTTCCATGGAGCTGTTACCAAGGTACATGCAGTAGAAATTTCTCCAAGACAACGTTTTACTCCCCTAAGGCTCTCTTCTTCTTGGTTGACATGGAATCTGTCTAAATTGGAGAAATTCAAGTAATTTGTAGATATTCTTTCTGACTAGTTGGAATATCTATTTTCACTAAAATCCATTGACCTTAGCCATCCTCTTACCCCGCTTGCTTTATGAAACCCAGATTGAGATAGATGACAAGGGACATTGTTTCTGATGTCCAAATTTATATTTATTATCAAAACCCTTTCAAGAATATAAGGATCAAATCGGGTTCCGTTATGACTTCAATAAAATTCACAAAATTGGAATTTCCCTGGGAAATATGAGACATATGGTCATCATTGTATAGAGAGAGAAGAAGAAACCCACCAGAGCTCATTCATTCATTTCTTCTCAAATGCTCTACATGGTCCTACAGTGGTGTCCTTGCTATTCCTTAAACACAGCCTCCTCAAGGACTTGGGCTTGCTGTTCTTTCTGGAAGGTTCTTCTCCCACGACTCACTTCCTCACTTCATTCACATCTCTGCTCAACTGCCACCTGCTCAGAGAGGACTTTCCTGATCCTTCTGTCTAAAAGATCAGCCTTCTTCACACTTTTTATCTGCTTTATTTTTCTTCACAATTTTCATCACTACCTTCTAGAAATTAGCTTATCGGGCTGGGGCTTTGACGAGTTCGTTGATGCATCCCTAGCTCTAGGACTATGCCTACTGCAAATTCAGAAAAGAATAAAACTTATACTAAAGGAGACATTGGTAACCTCCAAAAGGGTGGCTTCCAAAGAGTAGCTAAAATGTCAAACTGTCCCGTTCAGCACTTTCATGCCCTAAGTAAGTTCCTGCAGTTAGACGAGTTCTGGCTGCTTATAGAACCGTCCACATTCACTGAATGCTTGGTTTGAGAAGTGTCCAAGGGTTCTCTTAACTAAAAATATCACCATCCACTTCTCCCCCTCATTCCCAAGATGCCTAAAATTCCAAACAGTGGTTCCCAGAAATCATAGTCATTCTGACTGTATTAAGGCATCAGGCTACTTGGGAGGATCAGCAAATAATAGGGACTTTGTTGACCTGGTTATCCAATCAGGGCCCACAGCTTGTAGGAAGGTTCTAAAGCCTGAGCCTCTAGGGACTAGGGGAATCAGTGACAGTGAATCATTCTAGACACAAGGGGGCAGGAGAGAGCAATGGTGATGGAGAGGGGAGCCTATGATAGTCTGGGCTGGAGAAGTGCCCCTGCCTTAGGACCAGTTAGGTGTCAGGACAGAGGGGAGTGAATCCTGGCTCCTCCACGTACTGATTCTAAGGCTGATCTTGGGCCATTTCTTCATCTCTCTGAACCTAGTGAAATGGGAATTCTAGAACCTATCTCATAAGGTTGCTATGAAGGGTAAATGAAACGCATTACCGAAGGCTTAGCCTGATACCTAGCACATGGTACATGCTCAATAAATAAGTGCAATTCTCATGGTTATGACTCAGATGCTGCGGCCCTCCATAGCTCTTTGAAGGCCCAATTTTGTGGAAGGATCATCACCTCCTCCTTGGAGCATTCTGGATTGCTTCACGAGAGAGCAGCTCTCTTTCCTCTGAGCACTCGATCATGTCACTTAACTACTTGCTGCTATGTGTCATTGCACTGTATTTATTTATGTTACAAGTTCTCCTATAGTAATGTATGTTCCTGGAGGGAAGAACTAGTATCTGATTTGTTTTTCTCTTCCTAACATTGCTCACAATTCCATGTATGTGGTATATACCCAATAAATAAAAATTGCCCCCATGGATGCATATCTGAAAACACTATCAATTATTTTATAACCAGTGATTTTTACAGCCTTTTGTAAAAGTGGCCTCGTCAGTTAATCTATAAGTTAAAGGAACGTAATTTAGAACACTAAGTAACCACTGTGTCTGGTGTAAGCGTTGTTTGGTTGTGTTGCTCAGGCTTTCCAGCGATGTCTATCAGAGGCTCTTGGGACAGGCAGCCGAGGCCCTTTGAGAAGCAGTTTTACTGGCCTGAACAGACCAAATTCAGAATCGTAGATTTCAGTTCAATAAGTGAGTTGATACTGATAGTCTATTCGTGGAAAGGAAGAGAGAAACCCAATTTCATAATTATTGGAGCAAGAAGAAAGAATCGGAAGATTTTTTTAGATGGGATCCTATGAAATTGCCATTTTAGGAGATAAAAAAATGATCAAATATAGGTCTTTTCAAGTGACTCAACCTTCATAATTCTACTTCATCTGATCATCCGGGTAATATATCCATAGGATATAAATGATCACAGGGTCTAAGGTACCATGAGAGAGGGGATGATGGACTTTCCCCTCTCTCTTCTGTTGAGTCACTGATTTCACATCTGTCCACCAATCTCCCATCACAGCTGAGGTCGAATTTTGGAAGCCCAACTAAGGAGCAAGCGTGACTTGTACCTATGGACACACCAGATGGATAGCTAGGCCCACAGTGAAGAAAGGGGAGAGGGCTGAGATGTCCTGGAGGGGGGCCAGGCTGCAGCTGCAGGAGGGGTGGACAGGCAGATGACGGACAGATGGAGGCCAGCCTCTGGGGGCGGAGCAGCCTTTGAAGTCAGGCTGGCAGGCAGAGAGCTGCTCCGCAACCAGGAATCAGACTGAGACTGAGGTCGGAGAAAAGGGCAGAACACGGGACTTGGACAGCATTGTCGACAGACCATATTTCTCTTTACTTACCTCTTATAAACTCTAGTAATGCAGACTGTTATGAAGTGATATTTTTAAGAAGAAAGCGACATTACAAGAATTGTCAATATTGTGTGTGGTAAGGTCAGTGATGTTCATTTAGAAAAGATTCTCCTGTTGAGCAGAAGTGCCCCACGATGTTAATACCTTTATTTTTTTTTTTAACTTGGTGGCATGTTCTTCGCATGTAGACGCAGCTGTCATACATGGAACCCCATATTCCAAGGGTACTTCTATACCAATCTGACTTAGCTCAGTAACACCATCTTTTTCCCCAATTCCTTATTCCTTCTCCTCTCTCATTCTATGCCTAGAATTTTATTTCTATGAGGTTGTGTTTTGTTTTTTTCTATGAATAACTGTGAAAGCGATTCCTACCCATTTCTCCAGCCACAGGCCTTCTTGCTGCTCTTGGAACATGCCAGGCAGGTCCTTTCCGCAGGACCTATGCACCGTCCCCCCTGCCTGACCCCCTCATTCCCTACAGAAGTCACCTTCTTGGGGAGGCCTTCCCTAACCATTGCTGTTTAACATCGTATTGCTTAGTCCTCTTTGCAGCTTTATTTTTCCCCATTGCACTTTTTTAAAGGCATGTTATACATTTCATTTATTTTGCATTGTCTCTCTCCTCCCTTCCCCCCATAAGGGCAGACACTTGCATCCGTCTTGTCTGTTGTGTGCGCAGGGCCTAGTGCAGAGCCTGGCACAGAGGAGGCGCTCAGATGTCTGCTGGATACACAGATGGATATCAGGGAGGTGTGAGAACGAATGCTCACAATCTGTTCTTCCTCTTGCCTCCATCTTTAAACAGTTGCATGTCTGCAAAGCCAGAGAACCTTTCCAGATGTGGAGAAACAGCACCGTTTCAAAGTCAGTGACAGATTCAAGCATACTTTTGCAGACTCCAAATAAATTCGATTTCAGCTCTGCTCCCCTTTATGAAAAAGGCTCCAGGTCTTGGGCTAAAGTTCTCAAGCCCTTTGCAGCCCCAGTTCCTGGGACAGTGATTCTGTAAGAGGAGGCAGCAGCCGGTCCAGGGAGGAGTGGGCACCGCTGAACATGGAGCCGTGCGTGGGGATTACAGAGACGGCAGCTTATGGGCCTGGATGGTCTGTGACTCTAAATATCTTCCTTCTTTGCCTCCCTCCCAGGGACTCACTCTCTGAGATATTTCCGCCTGGGCGTTTCAGAACCTGGCCATGGGATCCCTGAATTTCTCTCAGTGGGGTACGTGGACTCGCATCCCATCACCACATACGACAGTGTCTCTCGGCTGAAGGAGCCGCAGGCGCCGTGGATGGCGGAGCACCTGGCGCCGGATCACTGGGAGAGGTACACGCAGCTGCTGCGGGGCTGGCAGCAGACGTTCAAGGTGGAACTGGAGCGCCTGCAGAGACACTACAATCACTCAGGTGTGAGCGCAGCAGATTGCTTCCCCTCCCTGGGGCCCACCCTGGCCAAGACCGGTCCCTGGGCCGACAGCGCGTGAAAGCTTTTGCCGAGTTGCCCTTTCTGTGGCTTTTGGCAAAGCCTGGACAGTTTGCTGGATGGGGTTCCGTGCCTGCCATCTGCCTGTGCATCTTCCAAATTGTCTGTCGTCCCGAGGAGCCCTTTGTCCTTTGCCCCGTGTCCTGATCCCAATATCATTCAGGCTGGTGACCTGTATCTTCTCCTTTCCCATCTAAATGTGGCCATTCTGTGTCTCATTTCCTGGTGGCCAGGCTGAGTGAGTTCCTCACGTGTGCATAGTGACTTAGGGCATTAACTTTTCCAGGGATATTTCTGGCTCCTGCATATCTCTCGCTCCACTGCACTATAAAGTTTACCCATTAATCATTGCTATTATAGGAGTTATCCTATAGTTCCCCAAGGCAGGAATGATCACATTCCTTTGGCACACAGTAAGTATGCCACGAATATCTGTTGCTAGATGGGATCATGTCACAGGAGCCTCCTGGAGACAGTGATGCCGTGGTGGGCCTGTGGGGTGCTCTGTCCTGGGGTGGAGGATGCTCCCAGCCACACCCCCACTCCCATCGCCAGGGCCTTCACCTCCACACCCTGTGTAAACCCTTTCCTGGCCTGTATGTGTTGCAGGGTTTCACACTTACCAGAGGATGATTGGCTGTGAGTTGCTGGAGGATGGAAGCACCACAGGATTTTTGCAATATGCATATGATGGACAGGATTTTATTATCTTTGATAAAGACACGCTCTCCTGGACAGCTGTAGATAATGTGGCTCACATCACCAAGAGGGCGTGGGAGGCCAATTGGCATGAGTTACAATATCAGAAGAATTGGCTGGAAGAAGAATGTATCGCCTGGTTAAAGAGATTCCTGGAGTATGGGAAAGACACTCTACAAAGAACAGGTAAAAAGAAGGGAGAACACCTTGTCCCCGCGCCCCCAGAACCCTGGTTTTATAACTACCTCTAATCTAGGTTATAGTCATCTTACTCTGAAACACACCTTGGTAGTCAGACCATCATGATCTGTGACTCCCTGTGAAAGCTTCCCCAGTTGCTTTTATCAGCATCTTGACGGATTCAGCAATCCCGCTTGAGAGAGTGGAGTGCCCCCGGGGACACCTTCTTTTGTGGGGATCCAGTGAGACGAATCCTTCCATCTCCTGACAATGATAAGCTGGGAAACGCTTTGGGCCGTGGAGCAGTTCTTACAAGTTGTGTGGTAACTAAGGGCTCCCATAACACCAGTGTGAGTGAAATCTGGACTGACAAAGAAGAGAGACAGGGGGTCTTTGCTTAGTAAAGGATTTATGATAAGATTTATTTCGGTGAAAAGCTCCTTACACATTAACGATAAGGATTTAATCAGTTAACTTTTAGTTAATACAGAACTTTCACCTTATAATCTTATTCAAAGTGAATTTGCCTGTATCATGCTATAGGAAACTCCTAGACACAATGTGCCTCTTCCCACAGGGGTGGTCTTTAATGGTGAGCTTTCCAGAGCTGTGGCCGGCCCTTGGGAGGCATCAGGGCCCCAGTTATGAGTGTGGACTATCTCTCTAAGAGCCTGCCTGTGGAGGCAGGTAACTAGAGTTTGAGCTTCAACTCTCCTACTCACTAGCTAAGTAACAATCTCAATTTTTTTTTTAAAATATATTTTATTGATTTTTTACAGAGAGGAAGGGAGAGAGATAGAAAGTTAGAAACATCGATGAGAGAGAAACATCGATCAGCTGCCTCCTGCACATCTCCCACCGGGGATGTGCCCACAAACCCGGTACATGCCCCTGACCGGAATTGAACCTGGGACCTCTCAGTCCGCAAGCCGACGCTCTATCCACTGAGCCAAACCGGTTTCGGCAACAATCTCAATTTTAATGGTTGCAGTTAACAGAAACCTACGCTAACTGGCCTAAGCATAAGGGGGGAGGTTATTTATCAGGCAGAAATCAGGGCAGTGTGGGGACCCAAGGAATTAAAACCAAGATTTGAATGGTTTTCTCCAAGGGGAGGTGGTGGTAGCCAACACAAAGCTCATGTCCTTGTAGTTTCACCATTCTGGAAGAATGGGCTTCTCTCTCCTAGTTCTAGCTACAAAAAAATTTTTTTTTAAATTATAGGAGGACTCTGATTGGCCTCAGTTGAATCATGTGCCACCTCTTGCACTAATCACTGTGCCCATCAGGAGAAGTTTCTAAGACTGACCATGGGTTACAGAGTCCTGACAAGAACCAAATGGCACACTCAGGATGGTTTAACTGGGAAGTCAGTAACAAGCTTATTTACATAGGTGCAGTCAGGGCTGAGGACACCGGTAAGGGACTTGCAGCAGAGGGAAGCCATTACTCCCCCTGGATCTGAAGGCAAAAGGGAAGGGACTATTGTTACCAGAACCCCGCAAGGGCTGGTACCCTGGAAGAACCTTCTAGCAAGAGCTGTGGCTATGGAGGACCATGGTCAATAGCAGACTGCAATGGCTGGGCAACTGGTGGACAAATTCCTAGCCACTCTCTCTTCTAGTTTCTGATCTTTTGCTAGGGGTTCTCCTCCCAGAGGCCAGACCCAACAGGTAGCTGGGGGCAAGGGAGCCCTGGAGTGCAGTCTGGTGAGCACAGCCTCCTGGGGCACAGAGCAGGGCACAGACGGCCTGATACTAGATCTGGGAGCTAGCAAAGAGAGAGCAGCCAGGACACACAGCTTGGGTTATGTTTCGGTGTCAGGGTTAAGAATGGTACCTCTTGCCCGGCCGGCATGGTTCAGTGGTTAAATGTTGACCTATGAACCAGGAGGTCACAGTTCAAGTTCCTGCCAGGGCATATGCAAGAATGGTACCTCTTAAAAGAAGCAACATGTTGGGGTGGGGTGGACTAATTTTCCAATATAGGGAGTGTGCTTGTCAGGAGACGGGGTTCTTGATATGAGAAAAAATGGGGCTAATAGAGGTTAGGCCAGCAAAGCAATAACCGTGAGTAAATTAAGTAAATGATATGCCTACCTCACAGAAATTGCTGTGAAATCATGTATATGAAAGCTCTTTGTATACTATAGGTCTCCGTTTACCCATTAAATGGTATTGTTGCCAGATTGAAAAACGTTTGACCACTCAGGATCTGGTTGAAGTCTAGGGCCAACTTGGGATTGCATGGGACCCTTAATCATGAGGCATTTTAGGCCGAGGCCAGCCAGGTCTGAAGAGAGCTGTGAGAGTCTACTTCCTCAGCGTGATTAGTGGCATAACCTTTTTGAACAGAGAACCCAGTTGGCTGGCCTACTGTTCTCAGTGAAACCAGCGCTAGGAGAAGGAAGACAGAGTTTAACTGGGATTTGCGGGCGAGTACTTTCTGGAAAAATGGGGGAAGCTTGCATACCTGGGGTGTGCGTGAACAGTGTGGGAAGTCTGACTTCAGCATAGCTGCTCCCCCTCCAAGCCTACTCTCTCTCTACCACTAGTGTCCTAAAGGTGTCTCAACCCATTGGTCAAAACCCACTCCTAGGAAAGGATCTGGGATCATTTCTTACAGGCAGCAAGCAGAGTTCCTCTCGGAGGCGTTTATATTTTCTTGTTAATGTTGGAAAGCCTTTTCTCCTTCTAAACTATATGCCACAGAAAACAGAACTGGGAGGTATTGTTGAGACGAGGGCTCCTCCTGTATCTCGGTGGCAGGTAGCACCGTGGGGTGAGGAAGTGAGTTGAGACAAACAGGAAGCAGCCCCTCCAGGGATGGCGTTGGGCTCTGTGTGGCTCATGTCAAATGTGACCCAGTGTCAACAGGAAACACTAAGGACAGCACCATATGGAAAAAGAGCAGAATGGTTAAGAGGAAGCAAGACCACAAATGGACAGTTGCTTTGCTGTCACTGCTGGAGCTCCTCCAGGGTATGAATGTCCATAGCCCCTTGGAGGGCATAACTGTGACGTGACCTGTTCCATGTGTTTGTATCTGATGACAGTCACTGTCGTAGTCCATTCGGGCTGCCATAGAAAATACCACAGGCTGGGTAACCTACAAACAACAGAAATGTATTCCCACAGTTATGGAGGCTGGAGGTCCGGGATCAGGGTGCCTGCGTGGTCAGATGAGGACAGTTTCAGGTTGCAGACTGCTGACGTCTTGCTGTTTTCACATGGTGGCTGGGGACAAGGGATTTCTCTGGAACTTCATTTATAAAGCACTAATCTCATTTTTGAAGGTTTTACACCTCCCAAAGGCCTCACCTCCTAATACTATCATCTTTGGGGGCTGGGATTTCAACATATGAATTTGGGGGGCAGGGGGGTACAAACATTCAAACCACAGCAATCACCGAAGTACCAACTTGAGCCAAAGCTGTGCGGAGATGGCTGTGATATCTTTGCATAAGCACAGAATTGAGAAAAAGGAGTGCTGAGTTCTAATCTCCAAACTTTTGCTGAATTATTTGTCACAGTTACATACAAATTCTGTAGCTCAAGTTACATGGCTCAACAACACATGCATTATTCTTGAGCACACTGCCCTAGCAGGAAGTGCACAATAAATTTGTTGTTGATGAAACTGGGTTCCGGGTCATTCTTGGTTTTAGATGTTTCCTGCAATGAAGAAAATTAATTGGGAAACCCAGTCACCAAGTTCTGATATTGTGTGCTCAGTACATAAGATATTTCCATTTAACTTTATCTTCTTTTTCCTAGAGCCCCCACTGGTCAAAGTAAGTCGCAAAGAAACTTTTCCAGGGATTACAACTCTTGTCTGCAGAGCTTATGGCTTTTACCCCCCTGAAATTTCCATGATTTGGATGAAAAATGGGGAAGAAATGATCCAAGAAATGGATTATGGAGGCATTCTTCCCAGTGGAGATGGGACCTATCAGACATGGGTGTCTGTGGAGCTGGATTCTGAGAGCAATGACCTTTACTCCTGTCATGTGGAGCACTCTGACGTCCAAATGGTTCTTCAGGTCCCTCAGGGTAAGGACAGGGTGTGCTGTCTGGGAAGTGAGACGAGGAAGGGGGGCGAGCAGCGAGGGGGAACACTGGATGCTTTAGAAGGCGTCTTTTAAATCAGAGGCTCTCTCACCTTTTGGTCTTAGGAATTCCTTGTGTTCTTAAAAACTGAGGATCCCAAAGAGCTTTTATTTGTGTGGGTTTTCTCTATTGCTACTTACTATATTAAAAATTTTAACATTTAAACTCAAGAAAATACGAGTACACATTTCATGAGCTATCAGAGCGATGGTGTCCTCATATGTGCTGTAGCCTCTGGAAAGCCTCACTGTGCATATGTGAGAGATAAGGAAAGGGAAGTCATGACTTAGACCTCGTAGACTCTCTGAAGGGTCTTGCTTGAAGACCCCTGGGGCATTCAGACCCCACTTTGAGAGCTACTGTCCCCCTGTTTTAGATGACTGCCCTGCATGAATCCGTGAAGTGAGAAGCAGGAGTAAGAAAAATGGTGTTGGGCTTCCTGATGATCACAGGGGCAAAAGTGCCCAAAAGTTAATACAGAGTGGGAGAAGGACTTGTGGATTTCCCCCATATGCTTGCTTTTAGGGTCAGAAGCTATCCTTCTGGTGGTCAAAGCTGTCTCTGGGTCCATTGTCCTCGCCATGGTCCTGGCTGGAGTAGGCTGCCTGGCCTGGAGAAGGAGGCCCCAAGGTGAGAGGCATGTGGAAGGGTCCAGGGGCTGCAGATTATCACTCCCATAGCCCCACAAACTTTATTTTCTGCACTTACCACTCTACCCTCCGTTTAGATGTGAGTTGGTCCACACTTTGTGATCTCAGAAGGAACACCTCTCCCACCATATTGGGAACACACACGTGGATAATGCTTGCAAGGAGAGTGGTCTGTTTTATAGGTGATGCCTGACATCAACAGAGTAGGACAACTTCTGTCCAGGTGAACTGTCCTCCCAGAAGTTGGGTCAGAGAAGATAGAGTGATCTTGATTTGTCTTTTTCTAAACTATATCCTTATTATAAATTACTATTGACTTTTTATTTTGTCCTTTGTTTCAAGACATCAGTAAGTTTTCCCATTTTGACAAACATTTTCTGACCCAATTATATGAAATTCCTTTTCCTTCTAAATTCATCTTTGAACACATAAAATATTGAAAAGTAGATACCTTTGGAAAATGGGAATTGTGGGAAGGCAAAGAGGAAGGAGAAATAGGAGGGATATAGGTTCTTGATACCTTGGGGAAACCGTTCATTCCATATATATGTATTAAATACCTACTATGTTCCAGGCACTGTACTGGATGCTGGGATATAGGAATGCAAAAGACAGACATGATTTCTGCTGTATTTTAAGGTCATCTCCCCCCACACTACTCCCACCCCCGATTTCAGTAGATGCTCACGTTGATCACAGCATAATATTGATGAGACCTGGATTTTGGGTTTGAACCCAGTGTGGGCCAGGACTTTGGTATTGCTTCATAATCACAGATTTCAACCCCAATTCAAGTGCTATGGTATAAAGCATATTATTAGATCAAAGTAAAAAATAACCCCTTTTATTAGAAAATCAGCTCAGAGTTAGTGGATCATTCTGTTCTCTTTACAAAGTACAGCACTAATCTCAATCTAAGAAATAAGAATGGCTGAAGCAAAAAGAAAACAAACCAACAAAAAAACAACACAAAAAAGAAAATTTTAAAAAAGTTTTACAATGACACACCTGTCTCAAGAATGAGACACTGAGTTCCTGCTTTTTATCTTGTGGAGTGTGTGAATTTGAGTTAAAATTTGTCAAGTACTGAGAGAATCTTGACAAAGCAGGCTAAAAATGTCAATGGCAGCTTCTCAGATTTTGCTGAACATTGCATAATCTTTTTTGAGCTATAAGGAAAAATGCACGTATCTGACTAAAAAGTCTTTCTTTCAGAGAAAAATGAAGTCATCTACCTTCCTGCACCAGATCAATAATTAGGGACAGCTCTTTTCCAGTTGTCTCTCCTCTGGGAACCACGGTCACCTCTGCCCCCTATGGACTCAAGTCCAGTGCTCAAAGCTCTTGACCACACCCACCACAGACATGGATATTACAGGACTGAGCATTTATGGCAGAAAGACAGGAGCCACAAAGGTTTCTTCGTTCTTTGGCTCCCAAAAAACTGTCAGCTTTCACGCTCTTTTGATGGACTCCTTTATCACATTTGGCTCTACCTTTTGCTTGTCTACATCCCATCTGTCAACGATGTTTACAAGTAAATTAGAGAATCTCAGAGCTGGAGATATCCTTCGATACGAAGGCCAGCAATGTCTTCTCCAGTGCCTTTGACTTGAGCATCCAGGCTCCACTTGAATACCACGAGTGAAGAGCACCTCACTGCATCATGAAGTGGCCTTTTTCTTCCATCATGAGAATGTATTACGCAAGAGCTTTGAACCGTGGGTGCCACGACTGTGACCCTACAGTCAGCCTTGGACCACCCCTGAGAGCAGCCAGCGAGTTTCTACAGTGCCCTGTGAATAGCCGGATCACTTCACATATTTCCTGGCCCGAGAGAAAGCCAAAGTGTCCCATTCTTCTGGCATCTCTGCCTGGTAGCTTGGAATCTTGGAAATATGCATGGTCCGATTATGGAAGTGATTCATTCTTTCTGTCTTCTATGGGAGAGTAAGGACAATAATTATCAGACATATTATCACCTTCAAGGGAACTACAAAGATCTAGACCCAAGTGCAACCTTTTAATATAAAAATGATAGTATGTTTATCAGAATAGGGTTCAATCCAATTTCTGTCTTTTTTCTACTGGCTCATTGTAGATGGGCCTGACTCACCTTTGTAAATATGCTTATTCTTCATGCTTATTCCCCACCCACTGAGAGTAAATAAAAGCCCCACTGCGAGAATTAACACCCCTTGATCTGCCTTATTGTACCCCTAAAATCTTCACTGTTGTTTACCTCTTGTTCACCTGTCATCTTTGATTCTCAGTAAGAAAGTCAAAATCTACCAGAGGGAAGATGCTGATGTTTTTCCGTGAGTTAAGTATGAGTTCAGGTCCCAGGATCTTGGACTCTCCTGGACATAAGATTTCTGGAAACACTCAGACCATGAGGAACCCATATTGTGGCTCCAGGGGACCTCACCAAGGCTTTCACTGTGGCCTCCTTCCCCAACAAGTTTTCTTTTTGCTTCCCCACAGTAGGCTGGCTGAGTAAAAAGGACACCAAATATGGCCACTTACAGAAATAAGTGAAGATAAGCACCATATATGCCATTAAATGTGTCTTTATACCTGGGGGAGAGGGGGTGGTAAGGGATTGGAGGAGTGAGGGAAAGGGGGAGATGGGAGATATCTGTAATACTATCAACAATAAAAATATATCAAAAACAAACAAAAACCAATGTGTCTTTGTTATGAATCTTGTTTGATCACAACACAGCTCTGCCCATTTATTCTATGTCTGGCTTGTAAGCCACCTGAGGACATGAGCAGGGCCACAGCTAATACATAGAGCGGGCATTTGTTCAAATTAGGGAATTGTTCCTTTGGGTGGACACTGACCCAGGCTGGGTGACATGGCTTAATCAGCAAAACAGAATGGATTTCTGCCCTGTTTGCCCCCTGGGTGTGCAGGGCACAACATTACATGGCAGCTCTGGTCATACCATTAGAAAATAGATGGAAATTGGCGGTAGACTAAGATGAATGAATTGATTTGGAAGGGTAGTAGTGGAAAAAAACAGGTCAGTTTATTCAAAACAGTGGAACTGGAAGCCCTGTTTGTATATCCAAAGAGCTAAAATTATCTGAAAGGTTTTACATAATCCTATCATGGAGTTTATTTATGGCTATCTATTTTTACATTTTGTCATATTACACAGTCTCTTTGAACGATGCCTTGAATGTAGTAGGAACCCAGTAAATACTTCTTGAATGAACCAGTATAGTATTTTAATTAGCTAGGCCTCATGTACTGGTGCAAAAGAACAGTGTCATCTTACAACTGAAATCATAGAGGGGAAATATCCCACTCAGGATCATAAGACATTCCAGAGCTCAGGACCAATGCCCCAAAGACTAGTCTGAACTCTTCCAAGGTTTCTAGAGCATTAACATTATTTAATACTTTATCTTGTCGTTGCCTTGCCTGTGACATTAGGGATCCCAAACATTCTAACCACACTCCACTCCCACCCCCACTCCCACCCCCGACACACACACATATTAGGGATAAGGACAGAATTCAAACATTATTACTCAAAGCACCATTTTTCTTAAAGGCTATGAGAAGAGGTGCTGAGGTATGAGTTCTAAGTCATCTTGATACCACATTTGATACCTAACAGATACCTTTCATTCGTAAGGTCTGTAGAGCTGTTATATAATCTGGATTTTTTTTTCTATTGTCATTTGGGTCTTCAATCCATTACAGAAATATAAATTTCATCAGTTCTTATTAATGACCTAAGGAGCATGTGAAACTGCTCCTTCTAAGGACTGATCATGTATACTTTTTCCTCTCCCCCTCCTTCCCTGAATTCCATGTTCGCCGAGCCCATTAGGCAGGAGCTTCTGCATTTGTCCCTTGGCAGGGTTTTGTGTGAGAGAATGTTAGGGACCAGAAGGTTCTGAGCCGAGCCGGTTGGAGCTGGACAGTGGAGCTGAGGGACTGAGTGGAAGGCCAGGTTGGCTTGGATCCCTGGCAAGCAGAGGCTGGGTCCGAGGCCAGCGCCGTGGCAGCAGCCAGACCTCTGAAGAAGCAAAACAGGGCCAGAGAGTGAGAATAATCAAGAAGAAAAACAGCTTTAGAGAAAACAGCTTCTCAAACAGAAAATAAATTGAGGGAACAGGAGGCCACAGACCAAAATGGGAAGCCACCAGAATGGAAAAGGAAGTGAAACCAAGAAAGAAATGAGATATTCAACTTCTAGCTAAGGCAGTCTTTGCTTTTTTTCCCCTTTTGGAGGTGTACCGGTGTGGATCTAAGGTGTTACCCGAACTGAATAAAAGCTCTATTTTTTTTTTCTGAGCAACATGACAGTAGCATAAATAGAGAATTTTGGGAACAACGTGAAAAGACACCAACTCTAAATGGTGACAATTCTGGAGAAACTTGGAGGGCTAGGAATAATAAGGAAAACATTTGGAGTCTCATCAGCTGCTGAATAGAACCCTTTGATATGCTTTAAAAGATCTTAAAGCCTGTACTCTGTTACTCACAAAACAGCTAAAATACATGGTCTGTGCATTACACACAGGAAGTTGCAAACCAGATGGAATCCCTGAGGCTGAGTCTTTGGGCTGCCCTCTACCTTACTTTTAAAGAATGAATTAGTCATTGATCCCTGAGGATCGAGGAGGAGCGGTGAAGACAGAAGGCAAGCTGCTGTAACCCAATTTAGGCCTTTGCAATTGAAATTAAGATCAAATTTCAAAGATGTGTGAATTTGCCCAGCTTTGCTGACTCAAAGTCCATCTACATGATGACGTGTTTATACGCCCAATGATGAAATTGTCAAGAATTGTTTCCTGCCACAAGGAATTGGGAGTTTTTCTCTATGTCACTGTATACACTATATTTTCATTAATGCTGCACAGTTTATTTACTAATAATCTGCCATGGATATTGATATTCAAATTAGATTCTTATGGCCTTCATTAGTTAATCAGCCATTCATAGAACATACATTCTATGTTCCAGTGCTTGGCACATAGGAACCGCTCAATACACAGTATATTGGCAAAATGAATTTCAGCAGTACCCACTGTGAGCTAGACTACATAGGCAATAGAGCCCAAAAGAGATGTTTTGAAAATTACCAAGTGCAGAAATGGCCCAGACATACGCTTATAAGCAATTTAAGCTCACATCATAGAAAAGGATTTCAAGAAAGATAATCTAGAACATATTTCTATAAAATAGACCTGGATTTTGTGTTAATAGAAGAATTACAACTCTGACAGTGACCTTTTGTGATAATGCTGAAAAACACAGGTTGGATAAAACTTCAGAGTGAAATGGGACGACCTGCATATGAATATTCCATTAACGAATGGGAGGAGGGAGAGAAGGGGGGACTGGGAGCTGAGGGCTGCCTCTGTCCCCGCAGCAGCTGGGCTGGGCTTCCAGGACCAACAAGCAGTTGTGATGGTGACATCTAGGAACTCAAGGGTATTCAGGGAGACAGAGCAAGTTCTAATCCTGTTTCCTTTTGCTTTCCCCAGTTGGCCAATCCTCAGAATGAACTCCCTCTTTAAACTGGCAAATGCTTTTTGGCTCTGCTTTTCAACTGGCACTTGGCCATTCTGCGTTGGTACTTATCTATTTCTGCCCAGCTTATCTCTCCGGCTAGACTATAAACCCCTTAAGGACACAGTTTGAACCCCATCTCCTTCACTTAGTATCAGGGTGAACTTAAATTATTTAACTTCTCAGCCTCCGTTGTATAAAACCAGGTTTGCAACTATCTGTCTCCCAGCATTGGTTAATGTAGAAATTAACTGAGGTGTGTGTGTGCGTGCGTGTAGGCACAGTGCACCGGGTGTGGCACAGGTCATGTCTCTTGTCCTCTAGGTTTTCTCCAGGATGTACTCCCTATGTCGCACGTAATCATAGCTACCATTTATTGAGTGCTTACTATGAACTGGGCATTTACATAGGTTATCTCTATTCCTGATAACACTTTGTCAGCAGGTGTTACCTTCATGTTGCTGAAGTTCAGATAAGTTGTGTGTCTTGCCAAGGTCACATTTACTTACTAAGTAGCAGAGGCATGATTCAAACTCAAGTTCCTCTCCATATATGGCTTGTGCTCTTTCCAGTGCACCACTCTATCAGCACACAATAGGCACTCGGTGGATGCTTGATGAAAATTGTAAGGTATCACTTACTCAAAACCCTGCTCTGTAGTGAACCTTGAGAACAAAGGAATAAGAATTTTATAATGAATCAGAAAATCAATAAAGCCCCTTATAAATTCCTGAAAGCCCCAGTCTTTTTGTTCAGCCTTTGATGATGTGACTTAAATGCTGAATAAGGCCTCAGGGCCAAATGAAGCCCGTAGGGAGTTGTCACACATTTCATGGAAATGTCAATGAAGGCCATGGCTAAGATTCATTACTTGTCAATGCTTGGCAGATGGGAATAGCTGGTGCCCAAAGGGAAAATTAAAAGCTCCTCACCTTGCAAACAAACTCACCCAGGGTGGATCTAGTGGTTATAGCTGGAGGGTTGTTTAGGGGTGATATAGTTAAATTTTCTCATTTTACAGATGAAAAAAAAAAATTGAGGGTTGGAGAGAGTGAAATGATTTGCCAAAAGGAACCCTGAAACCAATTATAAACTTCATGTCTTTACAAAAATATGTTCAACATCACTAGTCATTAGGGAAATGCCAATTAAGAGCACAGTGAGCTATCACCACACCTATACGAACAGCTAAAATTAAAAGTAGGGACAACGCTGAACTCTGATAAGGATGTGGAGAAACTGGATCACTTATTCATTGTGGGTGGGAAAAGAGAGTGGTACCAACATTCTGGAAAATAGCTTGGATATTTCTTTAAAAACTAGATATGTACTTACTAGCAGTTACACTTCTGGCAATTTAAGGGTGTACACATTAAAGTGTACCAGTAATAGCCCGAAACTGGA